CTGACTGTGTTTAAGTAAGCATAGACTGCCATGGCTACAGGGAAATTTTTAAGAGACTTGTAGCAGGAAGCCACATCCCTATCACAAACATCTTAGCAGATACTGCATAGGATACTTCACCCATCCCACACACAGAAACTAAGGGGTTTTTCCCCCTCCTCTTCTGAAACCCACTCATCCCACTTTTTACTGGTTGGGGAGATCCAAAACTCTGTAGAATATAATAAGCAGCAAGTTCAGCTATAATCCCTAAACGATAAATATGGCCAGTGAAGGCAGTTATTAGTAATCAAAAGTAATTTCCCAGCTAATGCAGTCAGCTAAACATGGCGATGAGTGGCTCAGAATTAAAGGGAAATGACTTTATAATTTATCTTCATTTTTTCTGCAGAGATCAACGGTGAGCAGGCACAAATACACTGTCTCCTCGCATCCTCCTGCAAAGAAAACTCTCCCTTGCAAGAAGAGGAAGGCTTTCACCAGAGACATCATTCCCAGGGTCTGTGGTATTTCAAAGATCACCTCTGGTTAACTGCCCACTAAGCAATAGGCAAACACCAGACGCCTGTCTGCACTGCTTTGAACTATCACTGGTAAGTCTGGTGTTGGACTTGGCTGTTTTGATCCTGTACCCTTTACAGCCACTGACATTACCTTTAACTGAAGCAGGCAAGTAGGAACTGCCATTCTGCTGATGCTGTCTGAAGATGTCTTGATGTCCACCCTCCAGTCCATGTCGACCAGCCGAGGCAGGGAGACTGAGGGATTAAAAAATGGGTCTGTTAGGCCCAGCAGCACATGATGACACCAGACCCTGGAACCCCTGACTACCAGGACGTACACGCTTCTCCACTTCTGGCCCTGGGAAGTGTACAACTTTAGTGCTCCTACCTGGTTTCATATCAATTTTACTTGGCAATAAGCCAGTCTCTGAAAGCCTCCTCATGACACTGGCAGGACAAACAGGGTTCTCCAACCACCACATGCAAAGACGGTACAGTGCAAGACAAGTATAGTTGGGAAGAGAGCAGTAGCCATTCATGTATCTGTTGTTTAAATCTCTGCCTTGGTCCCTAGGTAATATATGTCAGATATTTCATGAATATAATACTAAAATAATCCATTCCCTAGAAGACAATCTCACTGCAACAAGGTTAAATATTCTTCTAATGAATACAAAGACATGAGTGTCTGCGCAAAGCTCCTGGGTGGTGCTCCAAAAGCCTTGCTTCTGGGTTATGAAGAGCTAGCTTGTGTGTTACGCTGGTGTGTTACGCTTGCTCTCATTTCCTCTAATGCATGATAGCATCAAGGATACAGGAAAAAGCATTACATGTCTTGGTAACACTAGAACATTGTTTAATGTAAGCAACTGCTTTATTTACTGTATTAGCATTACACAAGTTTATTCCCTCTACCTACTTCCAGGCCATGAAAACTTAGAGGGACAGTGTATTTCCAGGTCTTGCCATACTGTTTAGCTGTTGGGCATTATCTCCTCTGGAAGGAAAAAAAAGGGTTAGGAAGATTGATGCAGACCTCAGAGTAGTCTGTTATGCACCGGTTCTCATTTGTAAGCCTCCAAGTGCTACGGTTGTAAAGAATACCTCTTGGAGAGAAAAAGTGTTGTAGCTGCATGAAACACCTAACTGGGATGTAACTCATTGCCTGTGACATTAAGAGTTTGCATTCCTTAATTACATCACAGTTTAGAAAGGTGAGAAAAAAGCAGTTATGAATGTATGCAGTGTACTTCCTGATGCATGGAAGAGAAGAATGCACAGAGTTGTGTAGACGTGCAAAGATAAGTTATTCCCCAACATATACATCTCCGTATTATTGAATATGGACATCACTTTATGACTTGAATGGGGAAGTCAGAGTGCTTCACTTTCAAACTCTTGCAAATAATTACTTGCTATACATTGCACTCTGCAAGGCAGGAACAAACTGAGCATTAAATGGAATTGCATGAAGACTGGTAACAATTTTGAACAGATCTAAATGCAAGCTTTTTGGCCTCTGCTAAGCTCTGTGATTCTGCAGTCATACAGCTTCATCTAAGGCAAATGGGTGTATCCATGTGCTACATTAAGAAAACACACTGCAATGCACTATTCTAAACAATGACCTCAAGAAACATTAATTGTATCAAGGTATGAATTACTACTTACTCTGACTCGCTTGTGCTTCATTCCTCCAAGCAGAGCTGTGAAAAAGTGAAGAAAAAAGCATCAGCAGTGCTTGAGGCAGCAGGAGGGAGGAGATGAAAAGAAAAAAGGTAGGGAAAGCATTCAGAGTGGCTTATCCCTGACAGAAAGGTCACCAGGGCTCCAGCAGTAAGCAGGGGAGAGAAACTCCTTATGCCAGAGTGCCAAGGAAAGGCTGTCACTGGTGATGGTAGGCAAACTGATGACAAGCCATTAGTTTTTTATAGCTCACTTACCCCACATACCTTTCTCCCAGGTTTTATCAAAGTGATGAGCTACCAGGCAGTGAGATGTACAAACGTGCAGAATTGCCACCACTTCACTTATGCTCTATCATATGCCTCTACACATAAGCCAAGGTGGTAAGTGGCTGGGCATCTAGATACTACTCAAGCAGATTCTGTAGTGCTGAAATCTAGCCCTCAAAGTTTTATAATTTTTCCGCCACACAGGTGAGTGTTAGGATAAAACGGGGTTTGCCTTATGTGAATGAGTTCCATACCCATTCCAAAAGTCTTGGAAAAACCCTCTGTGCCCACCACAGTTGTGTTTTGCTTGCTGTTCTACTCAGATGATGGATTTCATTCCACTCTGCTCATCCCAGCCTGTGTGATTATGTCCAAGGTACACACAGAATTAATTAATCAATCACACATGAATTTAACAGGGGGGTGAGGCTTTGAGCAACCTGGTCTAATGGAAGGTGTCCCTGCCCGTGACAGGGGTCTGGAATTAGATGATCTGTAAGGTTCCTTCCAACCCAAACCATTATGTGATTCTATGAACAGAAACAAGACTTTGTATGCTTCCAGCTATCTACACATCAAAAGAGATACTATGGCTTTGACTTTCCAGCCAAGAGCAATGGCAGGTAGGTAGCACTCACATGTTCTCCAAGATTATCTTAGTCAGAAGGTTTTTCAGATTTTGATGGAAGTTTTCGGGAAAGAGCGCGAGGACGTCTTCTGCCTTTGTCAAGCCACGGTACACGACGTGTCTGGTGAGGTTATGCAAAGCAGATACCAGCTGTAGGAAAGAAAGAGGAGGAAGGGCTCTGCTGGGTTTAAAAGCATTACATGCAGCACAGGACGAGCCTTAAGTAGCCAAGAAAGACAGAGCTTCTGCAGCGAGACTGACACACACCCCCCCCTCCGCCCCCTCAGGGTCTTGGACATTTCAAGTGGTGCCTGACAGCCTCAACAGGTATGGAGCTGAGATTCAAGCTGCCCTCCGGCGTGCATGCCTCTTCCCTTTTGCCACCCTGTACGGCCCCTCCAGGCAGTGCCTCCCGGAGAGGATAGCTTTTACCGAGCACGTTTCGTTCCCGCAGCGGCCGCGGTCCCTGGGAGTCCCATGGGGCCGCGCATCGTCCACAGGGCCCGTGCCAGCCCCAGTGCTGCCGCTGCTGGAGGCCGCTCCTCCCCTCCCTCCCGCGCAGTGTGGCCCGGCGAGGAGCTCCTGTTCTCCTGCTCCTTCGCACGGGGCCTGACGCTGTCCCGTCCGGTCCTACCTGCTCCGCTGCCTCGAGGTCGGCGGTGAGGCCGGGGCAGGCGCGCTGCGACAGCGGGCCGAGGCCGGCGGGTGAGCTGGAGAAACACTCCTGGCACAGCTGCCGCACGGCGTCCTTCGAGGGTGCCTGGTGGGGAGCAAAGCAGGGTATGCTCGGCCACGGCCCGGGAGAGGCGGCAGCCGCCGGGCAGGGTGCCACGTCCCCCAGCAGCTCGGAGAACCGCTCACCTTCAGCAGGCTCTGCAGGGCGGCGAACTCCCCGTCCCGCAACGCCGCCATCTTGGCGCTGTCAGCTGAGGCGAGCGGCGACCTCCCCGTGACGCGCCGCCGCCATCTCGGTGCTGTCAGCTGAGGCGCGCGGGCACGGAGCAGAGGGCGGTGCGGCCGGCCGGGCTGGGCTTTGTAGTCCTGCCCTCGGGGGGCACCTCGCGTTCCTGCAGGCGCGAAGGCCGGCGCGCCCTCAGAGCCCGGGAAAGGCTGTGGCTGCCTGGGGGTGCCATTGGCCGCCGGCTGAACATGATCCAGCTTGTGCCCAGGCGGCCAACAGCATCCTGGCCTGTATCAGCTGTAGCGTGACCAGCAGGGCCAGGGCGGTGATCATCCCCCTGTACTGGGAACTAGTGAGGCTGCACCTCGAGTCCTGTGTTCAGTTCTGGGCCCCTCACTACAACAGGGACATTGAGGTGCTGGAGCGGGCTTAGAGAAGGGCGACAAAGCTGGTGAAGGGTCTGGAGCACAAGTCTGATGAAGAACAGCTGAAGGAACTGGGGTGTTCATCTTGGAGAGAAGAGAAGGTTCGGGGGGACCTTGTCTCTCTCTACGACTACATGAAAGGATGATGGAGTGAGGTGGGAATTGGTCTCTTCTCCCAAGTAACAGGTGATAGGACAAGAGGTAATGGCCTCAAGCTGCCCCAGGGGAGGTTTACATTGGGTATTACGAACAATTTCTTCCCCAAAAGGGTGATCAGGCATTGGAACAGGCTGCCCAGGGAAGCAGTGGAATCACCATCCCTGGAAGTGTTCAGAAACCTTGTAGATGAGGCCCGTAGTGACATGGTTTAATGGTGGTCTTGGCAGTCCTGGGGTAGTGGTTGGACTTGATGATCTTGCAGGTCTTTCCAACCTAGTTGATTCTGTGACTTGAAGAAGAGATGTAGGTTTGTAAGGACTTACTAGTCTTAAAAATACTGAACTTACAGAAACCGTAATAGCCTCCTCAAGTAGGAAGACTGAGCTGGCTTGAGATGAGCAAACATTTTGAGCCAGCTGCATCAAAAGAAAAGTATTTTGCTGGTTCCAAAGCACAGGAATCTGAGTGATTGATGGAAAAACTTACTAGTGCCTTTGTGCTAATGTAGCTGCTCTTAACAGAATCTCAAAAGTACAGAGACACCTCACGAAGACACAGAGGTCTGTTTCTAAGTGATAGCTGTTTCAGCTGCTTCTGGTCTCTAAATAGACACAAGGGTCTCACCCCTGCTGACAGCACTGCAAGCCAGGAGGCATTTGGGGCGGTAACTCAAAACATCCCATATCCAGCTGTCCTGAAGAGCTTGTGAGGAGCACATCTTGTCTGTATTTTCCATCTATAACAGCTGGACTGAAGGAAAAAAGCACGATGTTGCTGAGGTTCATTTCCAGATAGTAGTGATTATTTTTAAGGCTGCTGGTGAAGGCAATACCAGCAAAATACTCCAAGTATAAAATTATACATTAGTTCTCATTATTTGTGTTACGGGTACAGCCAAGGTTTTCGCAGTTCATATACAGAATGGAAAATAAATATAATAGTAGTAATAATAATAATAGTAAATGGCCCATAGCACCTGAACTGTTTATCTACCTTGAGACTTGCTTATAAAAGATTACCAGTTAGAAGTTGGAAATTTTGTCTTCTCTTTTTCTTTCTTACTAGGTAAGGTAAGGAAAATGCACATGAAACTTGGAAGGTGGTGTTGCAGGTCCAGTACCAGAAATCCCTATGGCAGGTGGTCTGCTGCAGTATTCCCAAAGAGCTCATCTGTGATGATGTTTGCTGTGAAAACACTGGGGGGAAATGGCTGGTAATTCTGAAAACAAAGAAAGAAAAAGACAAACAAGGAAGCTTCTCTCTTATATTTTTGAAAATTATGACAAAAAGTAAAGTAGGTGTTTTAAATATAGACATACAAGGAAAAAACTTTACTTTAGAAATGAGATCTGCATTGTTACCAACAGAGCAGAGATTCCTGCTAAGAATATTAATGGTATAATTCTTCCCTTAATAGTGGTGGAATCCTACTACCATGGCATATTTCTACAGTCTTTTTTCTGTTGATAGCTCTCAAATGGAAGGATGTCTTTCACAATGGAAAGCATTAATTTTGTGGAAATATAAAAAGAATGGAAAGTCATAGCCATAGGGCCAAGAAACAATATCTAAATTAAAACTGATGTTATAATGCAGATAAAGAAGGAACTTGTTTTTAGAGAGCTCGAAAAATAGCCATGACATTCTTATGTATTTCCATTGCACTGTGATTAAATACACCACAGCATGAAAGACTGGAAATAAATCTGGCTTCCACTATGTAAGAACTGTAATTGCTCAGTACAAGCAATTTTACAGTGTGTTGTATTTATTTGAAATAGATACTATGAAGAATTCTAAAAGCATGCAGGGCAGCAAGAATAATCTAATTTTAAAATTTCTCTGTATTGTGAGGGAAAATATTTAATCCCAAAGCAGATTTTTTTTCTATTTTCAAAAAGAGAAATAGAAATAATGATTTGACCTAGTCTTGCTTATGGATCAGAATTAGAAGGAGGGTAGAAGAGAGGGGACATTAGAGTGGGGGACCCTACCATGGCAGGGAATTTAGAATTGAATGATCTTAAAGGTCCCTTCCAACACAAACCATTCTATTATTTTATGATTTAAAAAAAAAAAAAACACAACAAAACAAACAAACACCACCAGCCCTCCCCCCCAGAAAAACCCACAAAACAACAGGGATCTTTTCTTGTACACTTTTCCTTTATTTCATACATTCATGTCACAAGGTGAGAAGCTGATACAATGTCAGAAGCATCCTAATGCTCTTAAGGAAAAGCAGATTCCTAGTAGTAAAGTTGCTTATCCATTTTTAAATTAGAAGACACAGGACTTAGCTCCTAAATTAATGCAGTAGAGATGTGACATCAAGTATATGTTGGTCGAATTGGATGTAGACTATGTGGTGACCTATGCAGGTAAGCCCTGCAGAGTTTCAAGGCACAGCGCAGTCACCTGTCTGTCTGTCAGCACTTAGGGACCACACAGGAGAGTCAGCAAGAGGAAAGCCTGCTTATGCAGCACCCACTGCAGTGCAGACTGATGCCTTAGCTTCAGAACATAGAATCACAGACTGGTTTGGGTTGGAAGGGACCTTAAAGCTCATCTAGTTCCAACCTCCTACCATCAGGCAGGGACACCTTCCACTAGACCAGGTTGCTCCAAGCCTCATCCAGCCTGGCCTTGAACACTATCAGGGATGGGGCAGCCACAGCTTCTCTGGGCAACCTGTGCCAGTGTCTCACCACCCTCACAGGAAAGAATTTTGTATGAGAATAGGTGAAAGATCAGTCACCATTGGTTTAAATTGCAGCTCGGTAAGCAGAAGAATTCTTACTCCATTATCAATGCAGTGCTGGTGTCATTCAGGCCCCTTTTGTTGCTGTTGCTGCCTTTTATTCGTTTGAAATGATAAGTATTAAAGGCTTATTTCTGCTTTACTAGCTAGGATTGTCTTTTCATTCTGTGTTAGTATCGGAGAACATTATCATAGAATGGTTTAGGTTGGAAGAAGCCTTAAAGATTATGTAGTTCCAACTGGCTAGTTCAAAGAAGTCCAGGTTTAAGTGATAAGAAATAGTAATGAAATCATAAAGCTTTGATTTAGTTGGAGAATGTGTTGACCACACATGTAATTGCAACAGAAAGCAAACAAAAATCAGTTTATTTCTCTGATTGTTTTGGGTGGCTTAAAACTCAGAAAAGGTGAGGTATACCACACACACTCAGAGAAGCCTCTAGTAATGCTTCAAAACAGAAGAACAGGATAGTAAAAACTAAGAAACTTGAATATAAATTATATCCCTCTTTCTTCCGCTAAAGCTTTACCTCATCACAGTTGAATTACTGTGCTTTACTTACCAGGGCACAAAAGGGTAAATGTCAAGATAAATGTTTTTCAGTTTCCTTCCCTGTATTATTAACACCACCATGGACTGTTAAAATTATTGGGGTCTTTAAAACATAATTGTTTTTTCATTATTTATCTGCTGTTACCACTGTTCACTTCCTTGAGTGCAAGTAGTAAATCCCCAGAGGGGTGTTTCATATCTGTGTAAAGGTGTATTAGAAGCTTTGCCTCTGGCCTTTTAGAAATCGTACCAGTGCAGCTGTGTTTGTTTGTGCATCTCTAATTTCAGGATTTGAGCCAGCCTCTCAAAGAAGCTTCCTGTTGTTAGCCTGTATTTTACTGTCATCTGCAGAGTTTTGTGGAATATCTGATATTAGTGACTGGACTGTGTGAGGCAGCAAATGCTGTGGACTATTCATCTGCTCTGTCATGGAAATTTCTATCTCAAATTATTCAGAGGTAAGAAGTGTCATTCAGTGTCTTGAACATGTCATGGCTGCCCAGTTGTGTTTACAGCCTCTGTGCCTGCGCATGTGTTTGCACACACAAGAGAGAATAAGGGCTCTGATGAGGACTGTTACGACTCTGTCAGTACTAACCAAGTGGGCCTGAGATGGCTATCACCCTCACAGACATACAGTCATTTTCTAAAGGGGGAATAATACAGTTTCTTCACTTTATATCTGTCACAAATAAGAGAGCATTGTTTGCTGTAAGAGATGCTTAATTTTATGCTTCCATTTCTATTCATAGAATTATAGAATCACAGAATGGTTTGGGTTGGACCTCCAAGTTTTTCTCCTCAGGACCGTTTTCAATCCATTCTCCACCTAGCCTGTAGTTGTGCTTGGGATTGTTCCGACCCAGGTGCAGGACCTTGCACTTGGCCTTGTTGAACTCCATGAGGTTTGCACAGTCCCATGTCTCCAGCCCGTCCAGGTCCCTCTGGATCCCATCCTTTCCCTCCAGCATGTTGACTGTACCACACAACTTAGTGTTGTTGGCAAACTTGCTTGAGGGTGTGGTCAGTCTGGCCCCAATACCAACCCGTGAGTAATACCACTCATCACTGGTCTCCACCCAGACATCAAGCTGTTGACCCCAACTCTCTTGAGTACAACCATCCAGCCAACTCCTTATCCACCAGGTGGTCCATCCATCAAATCCATGCCTCTCCAATTTAGAGAGAAGTGACAGTGGTTTCAAGACATTTTATGCCTATGTTGATTTATGGTCTTTTCCTCTCAGTAAACTGCAGAACAGATCTTGCAAAAACCCCACCCTCTCAGGACATGCTGTATTTAATCCTGCACCCTAGATACATAGTTTGATGTTTTCTCTGAATCTTTTGCCATGCTGAGAAGAACACCTAAGCATTGGTAGGCTTGTTGTTTTGTTTCCTACTGACTGGTACATCCGGCAAACAATCTGATTTCATTCTTTGTAGCCACAATGATACCATTGTACAATGTCATAGATTCAGTATCATCTGATGCATGGTTCCTCGCAGTACCAGAGACTGAATTGAAGGGCTACTGAGGAGTGTCATAGCCTTAAAAAAATTATGTGGCCAAACGTAGAATTTGTTTCATTTTGCTTTGTTTTGTTTTGATAGCTGTTGTTTAAACTAGGCTCCCCAGTATTTCTTGATTAAAAATAAATTCTTCTGACATGGTTAAAAAATTACCTTAGTTGAAAGGTAAAGCCAGTGACCTCAGGTCTGTCATCAGCCTTAAGAAATTGTCTTACAGCTCCTGATGTTGCCCTGTCAGTGGAGTACTTGGTTGCTTTTCCACAGGCTGTGTATCCTCACTGCAACAGATTATATTGTCAGAAGAGTCACTACCTGGGGCTTGTCAATCTACAGTGATGTTACATGCAACTTCATTATGCAGTGACACAAATATCATTGAGCCAAAGTGCTACTTTCAAGGAAAATTGCTTCCACCATTAAAAATAATGTTTAAATCAACACAAACACTGATTTTGGTGGTAAGGCAGCTTCATGTCAGCAACAAATCTGAATCAGCATGTCTTGAAATGAAATGATGAATTCTCATATCACCCCCACTATGGAGACAGGCTGAGAGAGCTAGGCTTGCTCAGCCTGGAGAAAAGAAGGCTCCAAGGAGAACTTAGAGCAGCTTCCAGTGCCTAAAGGGAATGATGAGAAAGCTGGAGAGGGGCTTTTGACAAGGGCCTGTATTGACAGGACAAGGGGGAATGGCTGTAACTTGACAGAGGGGAGATTGAGATGAGATATTAGGAACAAGTTTTTCCCCCTGTGAGTGTGGTGTGGCACTGGCACAGGTTGCTCAGAGAAGCTGTGGTTGCCCCATCCCTGGCAGTGTTCAAGGCTGGGTTGGACGGGACTTTGAGCAACCTGGTCTAGTGGAAGGTGGCAGGGGGTTGAAACTGGTCCCTTCCAATCCAAACCATTCTGTGATTCTCTGATAAGTAAATGTTAAACAGTGTTTGGAGAAAGTTTCAGTGTTTCAACTCAGTACTGAAAAATATGCTGCACTTTCAACAGATTACACTAGATTTTTTTTTTTTTTTGTAAGCAGAAGCAAACAGGAAGCATAACTCTTTCAGTATCACCACTGAGTCAGATTTGGTTCAACTAGGAAAGAAAATCTGTAGTAGAAAAACCCATTAAAATCCCCTTTCCTTCCTGGAACAGGAAATGTAAAAATAGGAATTGGCTACTTCCAAATCCTGCTAAAAGAGTTAAAAATGACTCATTTCTTTGAAAAAAAAAGAAAAGAAAAAAGAAAAAGAAAAAGAAAAAGAAAGAAAAAGGCTGTACCTTTGGTTTTGGAAAGGCAAGTGTAATGACCTAACCAGTTTCAGATATGAATATACAGCATCTTAAAAAGGCACTTTCTGAAGTGACATTGAAAACACTGAAGCACACAGAGATTCTAACTACCTTGATTTTTGAGACTGCTATTGCAACCTCCAAACCAGTGTCAATCAATTCAATCTGTGAACTATGAACCACTATTGATCCATAAGACGTAAGAGTACAGGCACTGCAATACTTGCTGACTTCTGACTTTTGGAAGCCGGTGAGCAGTATCAGTACTCCAGTTAGCATCTCCAGTTACAATGGCTGTGATTATAAATGTAATTTAATTTTTCTAAAATCACAGCATTTTATTAACTAAATGTCAGGTGCTTTATCCTCTGGATGTCCACCCCTCGCTGCAAGGGTCCAGGATGGCGCAGATTTACCTTCTCTGTGTTGCCCTGGCAGTGAAGCAGCAGGATGTGTTGCAGCTAACCCTGTGCATATCTTATGCTTGGCTTCTGGATATAAGGTCCCACCACTTCAAGGTTTCCACTATATTTTATTTTTATTTTTTCTTCCACCACCTTTTAAAATTAACAGAATCAAAGTAGTGACATTTTTGCCTGTTAACCTGCTTGCGTGTTTGGTGTGGCCATTATCCTGAACAGCCGTGGTCACCTCTGGGTACTCAGTGACCTAAGGCCAGTATGTTCTACAGCCACAACACTACCTAGAAAACTCTGAAACTCTGAAAGACTTTAAATAAGTTTGCAGCAGAAGGTGCTGGCACACTGGGGATGCAGGCTGGGTGATGCCATCTCCATGTGAACCCAGTGTCCCAGCAGCCCTTCACCAGTGTATCTCACGTGGTAGCATGGGAACCCCTCTGAGCAGATGTATCAGCCTAAAGCAGACTGTCTCATAGCAAAGTGGTCTAGCCAGGACTTCCAGCAAGTGCTGGGGAAGTCCAGAGCTGGTGGCAGTGATGCTGCTCTGCTGCTGACCTGTGTCTTGCAGCCATCTGTTGTCCGTAACCGAGGGTCAAAGGAGGTGATTCTGCCCCTCCCCAAAGGAGGTGATCCCTGCTCTCGTGAGACCTCAGTTGGAGTAATGTGTACAGTTCTGGTGTCCTCAACATAAAAAGGACATGGAGGTGTTGGAACAAGCACAGAGGAGGGCCACAAGGATGATCAGGGGACTGAAGCACCTCCCGTATGAAGATAGCCTGAGAAAGTTGGGGCTGTTCAGCCTGGAGAAGAGAAGGCTGTGTGGAGACCTCCTAGCAGCTTCTAGTATCTGAAGGGGCCTTTAAGGATGCTGGGGAGGGACTCTTTATTAGGGACTGTAGGGGTAGGACAAGGGGTAATGTGTTCAAACTTAAACAGGGGAAGTTTAGGTTAGATATAAGGAAGTTCTTTACCGTGAAGGTGTTGAAGCAATGGAACAGGTTGCCCAAGGAAGCTGTGAATGCTCCATCCGTGACAGTGTTCAAGGTCAGGTTGGACAGAGCCTTGGGTGACATGGTTTAGTGTGAGGTGTCCCTGCCCATGGCAGGAGGGTTGGAACTAAATGATCTTAAGGTCCTTTCCAACCCTAACTATTCTATGAGTCTATGATTTATTGAGCTCCTAATTCACAAACACTAGTATTACATAAAATGGTATGGAGAGTCACCACTTACAAAAGGTTGAGAACTTAATTTGTTTTGGCCCAGGTTTAGGCTTGGATGTTGATCCTTAGTTAGAAACTTTCCATTACAACTCTCTTTTGGTCAACTTGAAGCCACAGATTGAAAAATGGATGCCTTATTTTTCCACATGTTGAAGAGAGCCTTCATGTTCAGAAGACTCAGTAATCCAAATGATTTGAGGTAAGCCTCAAAGACTGTTCAGTTCAAGCTCCAGGCATTTTGAAATGGGAGCCTCAGGGTCGAAATCGCCTTCTGCTGGAGGCTTGAGAGTCACTGTGTTTGGACAACCATTCACATTTCTCAACATAAGGAGGCAGGAGAGGAGTTCTGAATTTTTCAGGTCTGATGCATGACCAGCAACTTGACTACAGAAGTAGTCGTATTGAGGGGGACTCGAACAGGTGTACCTCTCTCAAAATGTTGAGGCCAACCCTCCTCCCGTCTAGAGCAGGAACGTTTCTTGCGGAATACTTTCTTGGTTGCATCCAGCAACCTCCACTCACCTTCTTCTGCAAATACGATCTACATGATTAACTGGAACTGAATCAACACCCACAGATTAGGGCACAGGATACAGAAGGATTTTATTATGAGTTGGGTTTCCTGGAGGGAAGTTCAGTTAAAGAGGAGGCTTGCATTCTCCCCAGTCTATTGTTCAGTCAGACTTGGACTGTGGCCTCTTCTATTTATTCAGACAGCCCATCTCCTTGCATACCAATCTGTATGTGTACAGTAAACACTGGAAGCTCATTCTAGTGGTAATAATGCATTGCAGCAAAAGGAATCCACATCTTGCCAAGTCAGCTGCTCATCTTGATTCTTTCTGCCCTCTTCTCTGCTTCCAGGCCTATGCAAAAAAGGTAGGTGCAGACAGTCTGCATCCTGTGTATACAGACTGTCATTCCTCTGAGCACTGCTGCATCCTGCAACTTCCATCAGGTGAAAAAAAAATACCTTTATGTCAGCAAAATGCCTTTTTCAAAGGTAATGGAGGTGACAGAAGATTTCATGGCTTAAACTTTCATTTTGTAACAGAGGAAGTTGGTTGGTTGATGGTTTGGTTTGATTGGGGTTTTTTTGTTGTTTAATTTTATGACCATTTTGTGTAGAGAAGGGGGCAATATGGAATCAGATAATGGCTAATTAGAATTGACTTCACAGTTTAGTCTCTGGCTACGTATTTGGCATCAACATAGTTTAACTTGTATTTGCCCAGATATTTCTCTTTGCCTTCTCCCAGGAATATGTGACATTCTTGTGCCATGGAGTTTTCCCCATCAAGACATCTGCCCTTCACAGACTTTGGAAAGCTCAGATGTGAAAATAAATTCATCCACATCTGTAATTGTAGAGAAGGAGTGATTGAAGTGCAGGGAGCACCTCTTGCCAACTTTAACTTAGCTAATACAGGTAAAAATAGCGGTGGTGGTGTCTGAGAAAAGTCACCTTTCCATATGTTTTTCTTGCTCCTGTGGTCCATACAAGGTATCTACTGTTGGAGGCAGAAAAAGGGCTCAAGCCCCCCATATGTTACATTGCCTGGTAATCAAGTGCAAGCTGGCTGGGGTCACTGCTAGCCTGCCTGAGCTGAGATTTATGCAATCAGACAGGTTCCCTATTTCCAGCTGGCTGTAACAATTGTACAATTAGACTAAGCAAGCAACTCAGAGTGGTAGAACTACTAATTTGCAAAGAAGTTGATCATTTATGGTGAAAATGATCATTATGAAGATGCTCTGAGGCTGGAGCCCCTCTCCCATAGAGAAAGGCTGAAAGATAGGGGCTTGTTCAGCGTGGAGACCAGGTTCGAAGAAGAACTTAGAGCAGCTTCCAGTGCCTAAAGGGAAAGACAAGAAATTTGGAGAGGGTGTTTTGACAATGGCCTGTAGTGATAGGACAAGGTGGAATGGCTTTAAGATGACAAAGGGCATTTAGATTAGATATTAGGAAGAAGTTCTTCCTCATAGAATCGTAGGATCATAGAATTGTTAGGGTTGGAAAGGACCTTAAGGTCATCTAGTTCCAACCCCCCTGCCGTGGGCAGGGACACCTTACACTAAATAATATCACCCAAGGCCTCGTCCATCCACCATTCCATCTCTACTCTCACCCTGTGAGGATGGTGAGGCCCTGGCACAGGTTGCCCAGAGGAGCTGTGGCTGCCCCATCCCTCGCAGTGTTCAAGGCTAGGTTGAATGGGGCTTGGAGCAACCCCGTCTAGTGGAAGGTGTCCCTGCCCATGGCAGGGGGTTGGAACTGGACGAGCTTTAAAGTCCCTTCCGATCCAAACCAGTCTTTGATTCTGTGATTCTATAAAAATATATCTGCCATACAACATGTAGCTGCACTTGCTTTTGCCTCTCACTTCCAGAATCCCCTGTCTATGCCTGAAGATCACTTCTCCCTCACTGAGCAACCCTATGCACTAGGTGCAGCCTGATACAGTCTCTTCATAAGGGACGTTTCCCAGCTGCAGGTGAACACAGTCTCTTTGCATACATGTGCCGTGTTTGGTAGACTTCCTGGCCCATGATGTAATGCAGTGCTAGACCATGCATTGTTTTACTGAGGTCTCATTAAAGCAATTTTTTTCCACAGTTCAGGACTCTGCCTTTCCTTAGCCGTGACCCAGCAGATGAACTTCTTGTTGCAGAGAGAGGATGTGAGAGAAGATGCCTGCCCAGGGCAGGGCATGGTGTGCCTGGATCCAGTGAGTAATAATCCAGGGTAAATTACAGTTTACTTGGAATGTTTTCGCCATTATGATTTCAAATGTTTGATCAAGGTGTGAAAATGGTGGGGAAAGGAAGGAGGGAAACGGGGAAGGAAGGAAAAGAAGCAGGCTGGGCCTTCAAGAAATCTGCAGAGGGGCTTTTGACAGGGGATGTAGTGACAGGACAAGGGAAAATGGCTTTAAACTGTCAGAGGGGAGATTAAATGAGATGTTAGGAAGAAGTTCTTCCCTGTGACGGTGGTGAGGCGCTGGCACAGGTTGCCCAGAGAAGCTGTGGCTGCCCCGTCCCTGGCAGTGTTCAAGTCCATGTTGGACAGGGGTTTGCGCAAGCTGGTCTAGTGGAAGGTGTCCCTGCCTGTGGCAGGGGCTTGGAACTGGATGAGCTTTAAAGTCCCTTCCAACCCAAGCTATTCAGTGATTCTATGATGTGTTGAATTTTTTTTGGTTGCAAAGCCTGTGTTGGCCCTGTGTCTGTTCTAGTGAGCTGGCACTACACACACAAAATCTCAGGTCTCCTTCATGAATGGCTGAAATTCCAGTCTTGTTTGGCAGAAGGGAAAGTTCCACATGAACAGTCTCTATGGAGAGGTTTTGAAAATCAAAAACCCGAGAGACTGAGAAAAAATGTGAGAACTGGAGATGCATGAGCCCAATTTGCCCAGCGCAGTCAGGATATGACTCTCTTCCACACAAATGCAGAGCCCTAGACACAGATTCCACAGCTAGTGTTCAAACACCACATTAGCTCTCTGGAGGAGAGCATGCCTGTACACACAGCCACTTGGCCACCGTACAGTATTGCTCATTAGCCAAAATGAACACATTTTTATGGGATTCTTCAGTTAACACACATTTATACTGGCAATCACAAGCTGAATTCCACTAGTGCATAGACCCTACCGGCTTGCTGTGACTCCTCCTATGCAGAAGGTTGATACAGTTTTCACTGTCATTTAAGCAGCACTTTTAGCATCTTGTATCCTTCCTCATGCATTATGGTGCCTTTGTGGTACAAAGGCTGTATCTGATAACAATAGATAATTTGGGATCAGAGGCATCTGATAACATGGAGGAATATTCTGTGAAGCTGTCTTTCCCTTTATGATCCAAGTAACTACCACAAGCTGTGCTTATTCCAGGTATTTGCATCTTACTCTGTATATTTAAATGCAGTCCATCTTTCAAATGCCCGCATTTGTCCATCAAGCCTTCTCAGCCTCTCTAGTTTAATTCGACAGTATAACATCACTGTATACATCACTTCTGTGCCAGAAATCACTGACATTCCTATGCCAGTTAAGAACATCTATTCAAGGTGTTTAACTGATCGGGAAAGAGGGGTATAGTTACGGAGTTATAACTCACTAATTCTGCCTGTCCCTTTCTCTGTGTAGGTAAAGTCTGAATGGACGAAGTTTTTCTTCTTTCCCTTGTTATCCCACAGCCTTCTTCCCCACAGCACAACCCCATTCTTGGACAGACAAAATAAGATTTCTTAGCCACTAAAGGCATCTTCCAGTTTGGATCAACCTCAGGAGTGATGCATGTGGAAGAAATGACCTGTCGTTTACCGTGGAAGTCAAGAACAGATAACTAAAGGAAGCACCGAGATGTAAACCTGTAAATTCAGACTGTGGCACCCAGCTGCCTTCTGTCATTCCTCACATCCCCAAGGAAGGCAGGGTCACCTCTGGGAGGTGAGGCCAAGTTGGCAGCAACTGTGTCAAATAGTGTGGTACAACATGTGCCACTTGACAACAAATGAGAAGCCTGCTCTGAAGGGAAAAGCATGTATGCTCATCATCCCATCAACTGTGGGATGGCTGGGAGGGTTCAGGTCTTTCCCACATTCTTTCTGCATATAAACATAGAGCCACTGTGATCGCCTCTGGGGTGACACATGATTTCTTCTTGGCCCCTGACTAAACTGCTTCTTGTCTCAGTCAGCTCAGGAGGTGAACATGTCCTTCTGCTGCACCCACACAGATTCATTGGCTTCATCTGGCTCTTGAGAGCTACAACAAAGTGAGGATACTGTTTACATTTAGGTGTTTTAAGTAGAAAAGCCTATTTTTTTGAACTGAGGAAGCTGTACCTCCAGGTGGATCTTTCATCATGTACAAATGCTTTCACCATGTAGGAATGCTTCTGTCACACAAAGCAAGTGAGGTGTAAGAAGTGAATATCTAAAGGGGGCCTACAAGAAATCTGGAGAGGGACTTTTCACAAGGGCATGCAGGGACAGGACAAGGAGGAATGGCTTTAACCTGACAGAGGGGAGACTGAGATGAGATCTTAGGCAGCAGTTCTTCCATGTGAGGGTGGTGAGGCTCTGGCTCAGGTTGCCCAGAGAAGCTGTGGCTGCCCCATCCCTGGCAGTGTTCATGACCAGGTTGGATGGGTCTCGGAGCAACCTGGTCTAATGAAAAGAGTCTCTGCCTGTGGCAGGAGGGGTTGGAAATAGATGAGCTTTAAGGTAACTTCCAACCCAAACCATTCTGTGATTCTGTGAAATAAATGACATACTGAAAATCAGTAGACAAATCACAGAAAGTTGGGGATGAATAAAGGAAGGCACCTTAGAAATTTGTAATTAGAACAGTGTGATCTGTCACCCATTTGCCAATAAGAGTCATCTAATACCTTGTGATTCACTTGTTTTGTGGTAAGAAAGAGGTCTTGTACCACGTGCATACTCTTTTGGGTTTGCAGCTTTGAAAGACAGTATAACCCAAAGCTGTTGCCAGCAAATAGCTAATACATGAAATACCAGACCTCTGCAGCTGGTAACTGAGCGATTTGTCACCTTGCCAAAATTACCTGCTACAGTGACTTCTTTACTGGCACAGCGTACAGATCCTAAATGACCTGAAATTGAGCCCCAACAGTGCTGCTCTGGGGGCTTTCCTCACACTAAGAGCACACACTAGGATTTTCTCGGGCTCTTTGGCTGGTATGACTGTGTAATTCACACAAAAATTGGTCTAAGTGCCTTTTTCTGATGCCATCCACAGGACAGTCAGGTCAAGCTCCCTTGGAGAGTGAGAGAGGTGTCATTTTTGTAACATAGTTCATCTTCCAGCACAGAATGATGACTAGACCAGGTTGCTCAAAGCCCCATCTGCACTTCCTGGCCTTCAACACTTCCAGGGATGGGGCAGCCACAGCTTCTCTGGGCAACCGGTGCCAGTGCCTCACCACCCTCACAGGGAAGATTTCTTCCTGATATCTCATCTTTGACCTCCTGTCAGGTCAAAGCCATTCCCCCATGTTCTGTCCCTAGCTGCCCTTGTCAGAAACCCCTCTCCTGCTTTCTTGTTGGTCCTTTTAGGCACTGGAAGCTGCTCTAAGGTCTCCCTGAAGCCTTCATTTCTTCAGGCTGAACAAGCCTGAAGAAGAGAAATAACCAAAGAAGAAAGAGAAGTAACAAAGAAGAAGAGAAATAACCCAAACAAACAAACAAAAAAAAAACATTACCAAGCTGAATGAGGATACAGTGATGAAGCAATTAAGGAGGTAGAAGAAACCATGAAAGGACCATCAGAGGTAAAAAAAATACAAAATACAGCCATGTGTTTCAAAAATGACTCTGTCAGAGAAGATGGGAACTGCTCTGAGGGTTGACTGAACTGTGATATTTGGAAAATGTGACATACCACTCTGATGCCTAAGGATGAAAACTAGATTGGAGAGGGTTTAGGTCAGATGAACAGAATTCCAAGTAATTAATTTAAATGTTCAGTTTACTGACCTTGAGGATGAAAGGCAAGATGGAGTGGACAGAGATGCTAGAGAGTCAAAGTCAGGAGTGTGAAGGAAAGAACAGTCTGTTTTTCTTTCCCGTGTGCTTTTGACATTTATGTTACTGTTTCTAGCAGAGGTCAACAGAAAGAAGACTGGTTGCCACTGCCTTTGCCTAACTGTGGTTTGTCGTGTGACTATAAAGTATCACACACAAGCATGCTTTAGTTCTTTTCTTCATTTAGATCTTGTCCCTCCATGGGCTAGATTTTGTCTTCTCAGAGTTTGCCACTGACATGACAAACAGTGGGCTACAGAGGAGGAAGCTTTAGAAACACAGAAATTAGAGATAGAAAATTTCTCTGGAAAAGATCAATTGTGCTTGGTAGGCCAGGGGATAAACTCTGGCGTTGGGCTTATTTAAAATACGACAAGAAGTCTCCTGGAGCAACTGCTCCACCAGGCAGTGCATTTTACAGCCAAGCCATTGTAACATTCAGCTTTTTGCCTCCTTTCAGCCTAGTTTCTCCTTCCTCATAATAATAATGCACTCAGCTCTGCAAACCTAAAGTTTTTCTCCCAGTGTCTACTTTTTGTAGCTGTGTCCTACATGTCATATGTAGCTGTATTTAGCTCTTCCAACTCATATGACAGCATCTCTAAATCAGTCCTCATCAATTCTACTTAAAACAAAAAAACAAACAACCTTTATGTTTGCTGATGTATTTTTGATGCACAGATATTCAGGACTGAAGGCAGTGTTCCAGGGGGTTTACACTACAATACCACTAAGAGGCCTTTGTTACAGTTTCTGTTCCTGAACTCTACTATCCCATTGTTTTCTGTTTTTCCCCCCGGTTCTGTCATCTCAAATTACAGGCAAGTCTAATTTTCTCTCTTCTGCTATTGTAGGTCTCTTTCAGCATTACACCTTCTGAGAATTCTTTCTGAAAAATAGCTGGGATTTGAGTTATTTTTCAGCAGATGTAGTATAGCTGCATTTTTCCCTGTGGAATTACATTTGGTTTCCTGAATATAATTTGTGTCAGTGCTTTGACTTGTAAAATTAATAGAATAATGTACTTTCAATCCTGCTGCTTGGAGGTGCTTCCCTCCCTGCCCTTTTCCTCCCAAAGCCTGAAACCATAACAATGAATATTAAAATATAAGAAAAGTAATGTTTTTAAATTCTCTTCACAGGACTTTTTTAAGCTTCATAGCATCACTGATAATGGAATTTTCTCACTACAGCCACAAGAGAAAGATGAACCGTATTGTTAAACAGTTTGCACAATACCACTGAGGACTGCCACACTTGTCCTCGCTGTCTTAGCTGGGAGCTGAGGTTGCTGCTCCCAACTTGTCCCTAGCTGTCTTCCCCACACTCCTTGTCAGAATATGCAAGGTAACTTCAAATGTAGCTACTAGCTAATCTTTTGCTGTCCAAATCATCCGCATTAGCTGAACTAAATTATTTCTTGCTTGGTTGTGTGCCCTCTCTCTCATTGGTCAGCTGGAGCAAATAAATGTTTTCCCAGCTGAAGGATGTTGACCTCAACATGGTTCAGCTGCAAACCTCAGCAATTTGGATATTAGTGCCAGAATGAGGAATGCTCTTCAGAAATTATTGTAGAATCACAGGCTGTTTTGAGTTGGAAGGGACTTTAAAGCTCATCTGCTTCTGCCCCCTGCCCCCTACCCGCCCCTAGGCAGGGACACCTTCCAAGAGACCAGGTTGCTTAAAGCCCCATGCAGCCTGGCCTTGAACACTGCCAGGGATGGGGCAGCCACAGCTTCTCTGGGCAACCTCTGCCAGTGCCTCACCACTCTCACAGTAAAGAATTTCTTCCTCAGGTATAATCCAAATCTTCCCTCTTGTCAGTTCAAAGCCATTCCCCCTTGTCCTGTCACTGCATGCTCTTCTCTAATGCCCCACTCCAGATTTCTTGTCAGCCCCTTTAGGCAGTGGAAGCTGCTCTAAGGTCTCCCTGGAGCCTTGTCTTCTCCAGGCTGAATAAGCCCAGCTCTCTCAGCCTGCCTCCATGCAGAGGTGCTCCAGTCCTCAGAACGTCTCCATGGATTCCCCTGGACTTGCTCCAACAGCTCCATATCCCTCTTGTGTTGGGGGCTTCAGACTCCCGCATTGCCCTCCTTATAGATCACACTGTGGGTCTTTTCCCAGAACTCATTTCTGGGAACCACATGATGCTGAAGACCTGATGGATCACATATCTAAAGCAAAGGCAATATGTTGTGAATTCATCCCATCAAGTGCATCATAGAGCAAACTAATAAAAGGTCACATCTGTTAGTCACAACTCTTGTGGTTTGGCTTCTGTTGAAGCCCAGGCTGTGTGAGAACAGGACGTGTGTATGCTCAGGGCTGTCTTGCCATAGAGCGTGCTGCTGAGAGGATGTGTGGTGTTGAGGCAGACTGTCAAAAACAAAATTAAGGCTGTATCTATTTTTCACATATCCATTCATTACATAAATGTAGCAACCTTGTTGATGTTGTGAACTTGCCTGTTTTTCAGTTTTCTGAGATGATGCTGCAGACTTGAACAAGGCCACAGAAGAGTCCTCTTAAAAGTGCATGGCAGTCCGTTTGCACCATGTATTGGCTTTGAAGCTGACAGCAGATGTCTGTCAGTTATCACTTGTCTGTAAGGCAAGTAGCTTCCTTTGGAAACAATATTCTCTGTTTGCTCTAACAAAAGCTAAATGGGAAAGGGGGGCTATTAAAGGGTATTTTTCAATCTAAACATAACTCTTTTCAGATCTCTTTCACTGCAACCTTATTCCACTCGGGTAAGTTTTAGGGGCAGAATTTACGTAACTTTGAAAGCTAGGTGTGTTTTGCATAATCTCAGATAGCTAAGTTAGGTAAAATTGATCCCACCTAAGTATTTTTATCTCTCTCCTTGCTAATATTTCTATTTGTCTGCTCTTGTATAATGTCTCCTCAGTACCTATGCTCTTGCATAAGGTAACTAGGAGCCCTCACTCCCAGTGACAAGGACTCTTCACAGAACCTTCACTTCTTCCTGTTGTGAAAATCAAAGGGAACTTCCCCCTTTCTCCCAGTGCAGTGGCATGGTTCATGTTCAGCTCTTTCCTCCCTGTTATTCCACAAGTGGGAGTGCAGCCAATCATCAGGGTAGTCACATTAAGTCTGTGTTGTAGCGGTGAGGTCCCTAGGTGGTAGCCCTGAAGCTGAAACCACATGGCTATGATGGGTTTCTGCTCTTAAATGCAGAGCTCCACAAGTCTGCATGTGTAAGTATGCGTCCCACACCTGAAATGTATTGTCAAGTTTTAACTCTTAACCATGTGAGTTAAAATTTGGGGAAAGATTCCAACTTGTGTGCTGTTTTGTTGTTTTTTTTTTTCTGAGAATTTCCCTTGGAGGGTGCCATCTGAGCAGGTATGTCAGGTCACCATCCTCATCACCTGCACATTCCTTTGCTTGCCCATGGAGAACAGTTCAACTATGATCAATCACATCCTTGCTTCTGCTGTCAATCTACCCATAGTGGTGGAAACTTCCCAGCTATATCATGAGCTGCAAGCTGAGACCACCACTGAAACTACACTTCAGCAACACTGTCCCTGAAATGTTAGTGTTAGTTTGAAAAATGCATGCAGAAGGAATGAAAATACTCACTTTTAGTTGTTAGTAGATTAACTGATGAATTAATATTTTATGGCTGGATAGGTATCAACTCTCATCATATGCCACATCATTCTGGGGCTGGAAGTGTGCTTTTGTATGAATCATAGAATCACAAAATGGTTTGGCTTGGGAGGTATCTTAAAGACCATAGAGTTCCAACCCCTTCATCATCTTGTCCCCCCCTGAGCAGCATCAGCTTTCCTCATTTTAAGATGCAACTTTGTTGTAAAGTTACAATTTGATTTCTCTTAATGAGCATTTTAGTGGATTACCAAGCAGCAGCACTACAATTCATCAACTAATTCACAAAAGCCTCTTAAGCAGCTAGAGAAAATGATACTATTTTACACATTTGGTCTGTCTCCTTTAAAGACTTAAAAATCTCAGAGCATTAACTTAATGAGTAGCTCTCCAAAAGCTGGCATTACAGTTTGAGTTAGACATTCCAGGCAACTGCTCACTGATTGCAACTAGTTGCAACTTTTTCATCTCCTTATGGACCCCAATTACATGTGTTTTTTTCTTTCAGCAGTTTCCTGCCTGATACTGCTGTAGACTGACAGCCCAACAGAGCAAACTGCATGGGGCTGCGGCTGCCAGAGGAACCTTGAACTGTGAGATCAAAATAAAAGAAGCCCTATCTTTCCAACAGCACATCCACTTCCCCATGCTGCACATTTTATTGGCCATAACACGTTTCTTTATCTGTAGCTCAGTCAGAAGGCAAATCTCCTGCCCCAAGACAGGCCTGTGAGAAGTTGTTGACAGGTCCAGCATTTGAGAGCAGCTTCCAGTGCCTTTAGGCTGACAAGAAATGTGGAGAGGGGCTTTTGACAAGGGCCTGTAGTGACAGGACAAGGGGGAATGGCTTTAACCTGACAGAGGGGAGATTGAGATGAGCTCTTGGGCAGAAGTTCTTCCCCCCTGTGAGGGTGGTGAGGCCCTGGCACAGGTTGCCCAGAGAAGGTGTGGCTGCCCCATCCCTGGCAGTGTTCAAGGCCAGGTTAGATGGGGCTTGGAGCAACCTGGTCTAGTGGAACGTGTCCCTGCCCATGATGGGGTTGGAACTAGACGAGTTTTAAGGTCCCTTCTAACCCAAACCATTCTGTGATTCTGTGACTTCTCGGCCGACTCGGCGAGACCCCCTAGCATCGACCCCGCGCCGGTGCTGTGGGTACGCCCCACGGAGCCCAGGCCATCCTGCCCTGCCCCGGGGAAGGGCCTCGGAGCTCCTCTGTCCTTTCCTTTCCTTTTCTTTCCTTTATCCTCTCTTCCGCTAAAGGTCAGAAGAATTTAAACTTACTGACTCTACCGGGACGGGCTCCCCCAACTCCTCAGCGCTGGGGGATGCAGCCCCCTGAGGCCGGCCCCGCTCCGCCCGGCCCGGCTGGGCTTAGGGCGGCCCGGCAGCCTTTTGTCTGTGCTGGGAGGAGCCAGTAAGAGGCAGATTGTAAAAATAAAGGCTGGCCGGCGGCCAGGAAGTGTAAAATCCTGGCCGGCTGGTGGCAATTTCGCCAGATCGCGGCGACAAGAGGCAGCAGGTCGGCTGGTCGGTCCGTCGGTCGGTCCGTCGGTCGGTAGCGGAGCGGCCCCTCCTCGCCCCTTACTGCTTGGCGCGGTGGGGCGCGGCCTGCCGCCTGCCTCCCCTCCGAGGGGGCTGCAGTGCGGCGGCTTGGCAGCGGTGCTGACACCAGGAGGGAGCCGTTGGCCATGCGAAGGGGGAGCTTACCCGGTGGTGTCCTGCGGCAAAGAGCGGGCTGAGGCGGTCCCCCGACCTGGCCGTGCCTCTGGAGCAAAGCGCGGGCATAAAACTGGGTAAGTTCTCCTTTTAAAAATATAAAAAACAGACCCTCCGGCTCCGTAGAGCTGCCGAGTGAGTCATTTCCAAACGAAATGTCTCAATCTAACCCTTTTCCCCGCTCAGAAGGCACAATAGTTCTGAAACCGGGGGTGAAGGGAAAGAGGTTTTTCGTCTTCCCTCTTTCTCTAAATAAATTGATCTAGCACGTAGCTGCAGCGAGAGGATTCAAAAGCTGTGAGTACCAGGCCGCCTGTCTAGTAAAGTGAATGGTAGCCCCATCCCTTTCCCTCTTCCCTCTGGCCTATCCCCCGTGATGACGCTACCCTTGTCTCCCTGACTCTCGCTCAGAGCCTCTCTGCCCCAGGAATCTTCACAGTCCTTTTCCTTTTCGTAGCCATAACCTACTTTTCAGTTCCTTCAGCTGCCAAAGCCATCCTCTGCTGCCTTCTTCTCTGTGGGCTATCAGCCACGCATCTTGCCACTCAGCACAGCTCCTGGTTGTCCTTCCTCAAAAGAAATGCCCAGAGCACAGCTGTATTTTTTTCACTCCTGTGTTTTCCAGTCATATGACAGTTTGTTCATGGAAGTGGGCTATCTCAACCGGAGGGATGTTTTTGTTTGTCAGCAGCAAGTGCTGAGCTTATTATAGGTGATGCTGCAATTTTGTGGTGTGAAGGGTTTCAGTTATGCAGAACTCATTGCTACCTGGATCAGTTATCAAGAGCTGCTTACATCATGTGTATCATGGTATATATGCATGCATGTTTAATGTATATACCCAAGATCTTATGTCACAGTGAGGCAACATGCACAAAACACAGAAGCTGGTGTGTAGTGTTTTCTAACCCAGATTGCCACAGTTGAGCTGTGCAGTAGTCCCTAACGGTATCATCAGCAGAGACAAGACACTGTGCTGTCCTGATAAACTGTCTTTTCTGAAACTAGGAAACCACCTACACAGGGTTAGAGTCTGTCCTGTAAAGCCTGTGAAGAACTTTGTTAGCATTTAGCGTGTATTAGTGAGGCACTGGCGCAGATTTCCCAAAGAAGGTGTGGCTGCCCCATGAACGGGGCTTGGAGCAACCTGGTCTAGTGGAAGCTGTCCCTGCCCATGGAAGGGGATTGGAACTGGATAAGCTTTAAGGTCCCTTCTAACCCAAACCATTCTGTGGTTCTATGATTCTAAATTAAAATTTCACAGTAATCTAAGACATCGTGCAATCTTGATACACACTTCATAGACCACATATGGCATTCCTGGAAAGATTTTAGTGCCATGGACTTCTATAACATATCAGAGGGAGGAAAATACTTGGGCTTGAGTCAAAAACCTGCTTTTTGGTGAAGCCAGAAAAAATGTTTTTCAGATGTGGATTCTTCTGTGGTTGCCTGTGACGGGTAGATCCTGAATCTCTGATTGAAGTAGTTGTCAAGTCAGGTACAGTGTATTGCACTGGGATCTGCATGGATGGTACCTCCAAGGGGCAGTGCCAAGGGGAGACAGGGAAATTCATGCCCATGTGGGAGTCTTTTTTGATATGTCAGTTTAATAACAATATTTCATTTTGTCAGTTTTACATTAAAGTTAAGGTAACAGTTTCACATTTTTCTTCAGTCTTCAATATAAAATTCTTTGTAATTATTTGTATGCAGTGTGTTTACGGGCCATCTGATATCAGTTGAGACTGATAAGACTTCTAATGTTCATCTTCGAAGTTCAGCTGGAACACAGGTGGTGTTTACCAACTCCTCAATCCCTTTTGGAAAAGTTTCAGTTCCTTAAATTCTGAGCAACCAAAGACACAGACTAGGGGAGATATTTATCCTTTTATCTGAGAAATAAGTACATGTAGCTTCCATTCTTACGGAAAGAGTGAAGGAATGGGACTTGAATGTATCCTTAAGGACTTAGAAGTAGCAGGGAAATAAGTACTAGAATGTAATCATCTGTAATTAATTTCATTGTGTTCAATTTTCATGTGACTTTTCTAACTGCCTGTAGTATTTGTGGATTTGTTTTTCCCATAGTGTATGACCTTTGTACTCACTGTTACTCCTGATGTGAATTAAAGTATAAATATACACTGAGTATGTGCTGGGTTCCAGGGCTTGCTCAGTAGAGCATAATAACCGTACTGAACACACAAGATGGGCCTAAGTGCAGATCAGAGGGTGGAAGATTGTGCTAAGGATTTTAGCAAAACCTCAGTTATGCTAGAGCTGGCTGAGGGTAGGCTGTGACTATCAGCAGGCAAGGTAGCTGCCATGCTTTGTAGTCCCAGGGTTAAAAATTTGGGGGATACTCATGGTTTAAATAACAGCAACAGGAATGTGAAAACAAAAAACAAACAAAAAAGAATAAGTATGAGAGCAAGAAAGCACAGAGAGATTGTCATTATAGTGGCAGCAGAGATAGTTCCTAAAATAATTGCAGTTGCCAGTGTTTTATTTGATGAAGTGTATCCATCATCTGATTAACATTCCTAGAAAATTAAAAGTGTCATTACATTTAGACTGATACAACTTTTTTGCTTCCGAAACTATGTTTCCCCCTCCCTCCATGCTTCTGCGTGGCACATTATGATAGAATGGTTTGGGTTGGAAGGGACCTTAAAGCTCATCCAGTTCCAATCCTCCTGCCATGGGCAGGGACACTTTCTACTAGACCGAATTGCTCCAAGCACTCTCCAGCCTGGCCTTGAACACTGCTGGGGATGGGGCAGCCACAACTTCTATATTTAGATGCCTATTGTTTTGCATGGGATGTGAATTAAGCACTAAAGTTTTCCAGAGACAGATTTCCAAAAGTGTGAAGGCATGAAAGGATGAGGGTGTAGGAAGGCCCATAGCATGAGGTTGGGCCCCAGACTGCCTCCAAAATTATTGACATTCTTGCTTTCAGTAACTTCTGACATACATGTAGGACCTTTGTTAGTTATGGAATAAACCTTGATTTTGATCATGTCTTTCTAAAAAGCAGACTTTGTTTATTTTTAAGAAACTGAGCAATAAGAGGAACTGAAAGCGTTGTGTTTTCTTAGAATATAAACTAAGTTCATGTATGTGCAGTTGTGATGACCATAAAGATTTGAAGTTACAGGTTGTAGGCTGATTTTCTACTTCTCAGTATGGCTGCGTAGCAAATAAATGGGCAATTTTGGTCAGAAATAGTGTTTTCAGATCTTGTCCGTTGAACTTGAATCAAGGATTTTGCCAATCACGTACTTTGTTAAGGATTTACAAGGAGAATCAGGTAACAAAAAGCTGGATGGTTTTCTGCAGATTTTTGTGTCTGAGTTAAAATGAAACCACTCATCATGGGTCTGCAGGCCTAGTACAGCAGGGAGTTTTCTTAAGATTCTGCTTCTTCCACACAATCATTAAAAAATCTGATGTGTGTTGCAATCTTCAGTTTGTGTGGTTTATAGTAATGGCTCATCAATGCACAATTGCACAAAACATATAAAGGAGAGAAAAATGGGCAAGTGTATATGTTTCTTCATGAAGGGGCTGTTCTTTTAACACTAAAAAATGTTTAAATAGCAAAATATCACTTATATCTGGATAACACCACATTCTCTGATGCTGTGTTTCAGGAGACCTGGGAAATGCTTGTTTCATATAATCACAGAATGGTTTGGGTTGGAAGGGACCTTAAAGCTCATTCAGTTCCAACTCCCTGCCATGGGTAGGGATACCTTCCACTAGACCAGGTTGCTCCAAACCCCATCCAACCTGGTCTTGAATGCTGCTGGGATGGGGCATCAACGACTTCTGTGGGGATCCTGTGATTTCTCCACTCTTTGCTCTCTTGCTTTAAAGTTACTTTTCCCCCCATCTGCTTTAAATTTACTTTTTGACTAGTGGCTTTTTCGTCTGAATTTGGTGTGAAGTAGTGCTGGTGCAGGTTTTCCTCTAAGGAGCAATGACAGTTGCAGTTTTTGCTGCTCTGTCACTTCCATATGTGGCTGTTGTTCTGTGTCTTGCAGAAAAGGCATCACAAGAATTGAAAATGGTCTGTTTTTTTGTTAAATCTTAGTTACCATGGGCTTTTGTTTGTTTGGCTCAAGATTATCATGAGGGTTCATAACTTGGAGCATTTGCTGTCAACTTTTTCTTCTGGTTATTCTTTCTTCAGTAGAGATCAGTTGATAGAGGTATATTGCCTGATCTTGCTTTTCATCCAGAAAGTCATATGTATTATGGTCTGTTGGGAGGGAAAGGTCTTTTCATCAAATCATTTTATAATGATTTCTCTGTTTGTTTTCATGGTTAAGAGGAAACAAAGGATAAAAAAATCTAGCTTGATGACTGTAATGTTTTTATAAATGCCTGTATCTGTGTGTGTGTTGGAAAAGGATTTGTCTCCATGCTTGATTCTTCTCTTTAAAGATTCAGATTAATCCTTAAAGTGTTTACTCAGATGTGATGAATTACAAGTGGATGAAATAACATTGTTGTCAGATTGACTCATCATCCCCCAGTTGAGAACATTGACTTCTAGTTCTGAAAAGCTTGCTCACTCAAAGACCTGGTTTTTACATGGATTAACGTATCTCCCTTGTTAGAGATGTGGAAGGTTTAGAGAGCTGGGTTTTGAGATAATAATCAAGGATAAAAGAAAACAAAGACCGGGGGTAGGGCAGCTGAAAGGGAAAGATCAATCCATCTCTCTTTGACACACTTATGATAAGCATTTTCTCCCAAAAAAGTAGGGTCATTAAGAGAAATGAGAAGAATAGAGAGTGTTTTAGGACATATCAGCTATCAAGGGGTTTGAAACCCCCATAAAGCATTGCCCTGGCAGCTGGAGCACATGACAATGAGAGATTACCTTGGTGAGGTTGTATCTCTTATGCAGTTGATGCACTTCAATTTTCAGGTCTTCATGCTTTTTATAATCAGTGGTAAGAGTGTTGCTTGGTGGCTAGAGCATGCTGCACGCTGGTATCTCTCTTCACTCCATATAAAAGGGGAAAAATAATAATTGCTTCTCTGTAAAGTTTTTTCTAGTTCTGTGGTTGATACATAATAGGACTGTGATTATTAGCAGTAGGTTGTATTTGCTGGTGTTCTAAGAAGCTTTAATGTTAGGAAGAGGAGACTGTAGATGTGAGGGAGTTTGGACTGAAGGCCTCTACGAGGACAATGTCAGTGAATATTAGTGAAGAATATTATGAAGAAATTCTTCCCTATGAGGCTGGTAAGGTACTGCCACAGGTTGCCCAGAGGAGCTGGAAATGTTCAAGGCCAGGTTGGGTGGGGCTTGGAGCAACCTGGTCTAGTGGGAGGTGTCCCTGCCCATGGCAGGGGGTTGGAACTAGGTGAGCTTTAAGGTTCCTTCCAACCCAAAGCACTCTGATTCTGTGATTCTATAAAGTAACAATTGTATTGCATTTATAACTATGAAAAATATATGCTGTTTTCCTGGTATAAAAATTGTTAAGCTAGAAATTTTACTGCCCTGCTAGAAGTGACCTCTCACTTACTCAGCTCCTTACCCTGTCACTTTTGGAGCTATGAGATTACAAACATTGGCACAAGCACTGGTTTTGCAACAGAAGCATCTGTTATGTGTACACTTTGCCTCCCAGGCACCTTTTGGTGTGTTGTAAGAAAAGCCTGCCCCTGACTTTCCAAGGTGCTGTGGCTCTTATCCTCTGATGATTTCTGATGTAGTTAAAATTGACAATAGAGAAATTGATGGCAGGTTGAAAATGTGTGGGCCATGTCTAATGAACTGTTACTTCAAAATGTACACAGAGGACTCTGCTGATCTGGTTGTATTAGTTTACATTTATTCTTCGTTTCTAGAAGTTATCACTATTTTTTTTTTTAATTGGAACAGGACAGCCACAGAATCAGCAGATTACTGCCCTTTCAAACAGCAACAGTCAAGACTAAGCTCATATCACAAAGGACTGTCAGGGCTTTGTCATCTCCAAAGACAGCCAGTGGCTGTCTAAAGACAGAATAAGGTTGCACTTGTAGCCATGTTCCAGTTCCACAGATACCTGTGCAAACTATATTTAATTTGTGGGGGAATAACCACCATATTTAATTCTTGTATATGACCAAGAATGACAGTATTACATGTTTTGGGGCCTTAAAACCGAGGTGTTTTAACTTCCTCAGTGGTGGGGTGCATGGTATCTGTGGCATAGCAAAAGCTTGTGAGAGCTTCATGGGGGTTTATCAGGATCAATGAGGCTGTGCAGAGGTGGGGTAGCAGAGTGAGCTCAGCATGAAACAGGGCTGGGCGGATGGAAAGAAAGTTGTTCTCCTACATGTGATTTGGGGAGTAGTTGTATTAGAAGCACTATGCAGATAGACAACATTTCTTTGGCTGATCACCTCTGTTTTCATGTCATATTGAAGATGTGGTGGAAATGATCTTGCATCTCATGTGCAGTTCAGTTACAGAACTCTTTCCCACCCACCTTTCTCATTTCTCCCACATCTCCATTCTCCAGATCCAACTACATTGGCTGCTTGTATTCATCTGTAGTGGGAAGATTTCAAAAGAGCTTTGCCAAGGTTTTTTTGTGATTTTTATCCAAGCTAACTTATTCTATTTCTGTGATTTAGTTGGGGCTACATATTTGTCTATATGGAGAAGATTATCAGAGTGGAAAATATGGGCATTTTGTATTTGGCCTAGCAATTACTTCTCACTCTGTAGAAAACAAAGTCCTGATTACTCTCAAAGTAATCCAGTTGTCAGATCTCTTTTGCAGAAGTGCCTTATTGTATCCTTTATAGTAATGGACTGATAATGAGTGGGTGTATGCCCTTGCACAACACTTCCCCCAAAAAAACAGGCAATGTGCATCTTTTTTTTCTATTGTTAATCTTTTATTCCTTTCTGGTGAAATACTTTTCTCTTTCTCCAGTTTCTAGTGTTTTGTACAGGCTGAATGGCTAACTGTATTTAAAGGTATTTGTAAGGTGCTTCCAGCAGAAATGTTCAGGCACTTCTGTTCTTGCATCTCTGCCAATTGAAATGGAAAGAGAGACCATGCTTGTATTTCTGGCTGGCTGTGTTGGGTCGTTATTTAAGGGGCAAGATGGGAAATGGGACTGCTGTTGAAAAGCTGCAGAAGATTTGCCCAAATTTGCTGTTAAAAGGTTAGGATATTTCACCGCTCCTTTCTCTGTCTTGCTCTTTTCCTTTCTCTTTGCCTTGCAGGACTGCTTCATCACCTTGTGATGTGTGTTCATGTCACAATCTGACCCCATGGGGGGCTGCTAGTCCAAGGCTGACTCTTTGTTTTTGCTCCAGGAGAAGTCCTAGATTTTGAAGATTCATTGACATCTCTGAGACTAACATTTGGATCTTCAAAAGAAGAGACTTTCTGATGGCCCTGCTCTGCTCCAGCTGATCCTATGACTGGAGGGTTCACCGTGGCTCCATCCTTTACTCTCCAGTTCCACAAGATGGGTTCATTAAGAAGGCCCCGACCTCGCTTCATGAGCTCTCCGGTTCTCAGTGATCTACCACGGTTCCAGGCAGCCCGGCAGGCCCTGCAGCTCAGCTCCAACTCTGCCTGGAACAGGTGAGCAGCCCCCTGATAAGAGCCATGCATGTCTTACCTTCATGCTTCAGACTGTTTATGGTGAAGCTTGCCTGTTTGTAAGCACACATGAATTTTTGGGATGCCCAAGATTTGCTGGCATTGAAAGCCTCTGTGGAGGTAAAAAAAGTAGACCTAGTAGTGTTCAGCCTTCCTTTTGGCCAGAGTTGTTCAGAGGTAACGTCTTGAAGTAAAACAGAAGTGCTCTTTATTAACAGTTGTATCTTTTAAGCACTATTTAGGAAAATGCATCCTAGCAGTGTAATAATAACCAATTTCTTAATGCACAATAGGCATTTATCTGCATATTATGAAGCTTTTACCACAGTCAATTTCCTCTGACAACTGCTAAGCTTGTGGCTTCTACCAGCACTTCGTATTACAGCCAAATCCTGTCTGCAGTGTGCGTCATGCAGCAGTGGCAATGGGAAAAACAACATGTAGCATGAGGAGTGAAATGTCCCAATCTGATCTAATGGTCTGCTGCTACCAAAAGTGGGTGTTCCGAGCTTCCCTTCTGCCACCAGCTCTGTGCTCTGCAGACCCCTCTCTTGCTCACCTAGCTCAGCTTACTAGTGTCACACAAAACGCTGAGAGAGTTAGCTTATTCAGCTTGGAGAAGAGAAGGCTCCTTGGAGACCTTAGAGCAGCTTCCCATGCCTGAAGGGGCTGAAGAGAAAGCTGGAGAAGGTCTTTTGACAAGGGCCTGTAGTGACAAGACAAGGGGGAATGGCTTTAACCTGACAGAGGGGAGCTTGAGATGAGATATTAGGAAAAAATTCTTCACTGATGTTTGGAAAGGACCTTAAAGGTCATCTAGTTCCAGCCCCCTGCCTTGGACACTTCCAGGCATGCAACAGCCACAGCTTCCCTGGGCAACTTGTGCCAGGCCCTCACCACCCTCACAGTGAGGAATTTTTTCCTCATGTCTGATCTAAATCTCCCCTCTGTCAGTTTAAAGCCATTCCTCCTTGTTCTGTCACTACAGGTCCTTGTAAAAAGTCCCTTAGATCCCCTAAACAGTCATGTGAAGGATTTATCTAGTATGAACATGTTCTTTGTGAACAGTGTCCCTGTAATGACTGTCCCTTGCTTGCTCTAGGCACAAGTTGATGCTGGTTTTGCTCCATCTCCTGTGAGAAATGTAGGTAAATAAGAGTGATTTCCAGAGTAGAAAGAGGGGAAGTATTTAAGTGCAATTAACCTCTCCACCCTATTGCAAGCACTCAGCTTTTGGTGGCTAGCTCACATTGCACTCTTGTGTTAAATCACACTGCTGGCTGTTATTTATGGATGTTGTACTGTCTCATTTCTTTTTTGGCAGTGTTCAAACAGCAGTGATAAATGTGTTCAAAGGGGGAGGCTTGCAGAATAATGAACTTTACACTCTCAATGAAAATATCAGGTAGGTTGCTGAAATGCATGAGAAGGGATTTTTGTCGCTGCTTGTTTGGTGTTTCTTGTGTTTATTCCCCTGCAGAACAGCAATTACAGGATATTGGTGGGAGGAGCAGGAATCGAAGCAAACTTAAGCACAGTTAGGAGATTTCAGTCTTAATTCTTTTTTTTTTGCTATGAGGTGCAGTGAATGGCATAGGGCACTTGGATAATGTTTCTCTGACTTGTGTGGATGCATAGCTTCACCAAGGACAGGATGTGTATTGACTCGGACTACAAGGATTTTGTCCTTCCCAGTGGTGTTTGGCTCTTCTGGCTGTTTTTACACATTTTTATCAGGGGATTCAGGGTGGTAATAACGTCTTCTCTAAACCTGAGTTTCTCAGAAATGTGGAGTCTTTAAAATGAAGGCACAACACAACATTTCATATAAAAGCTTAATCTCCACATCGTAATTGCAGGCCAAGACCTGAAAATACTAAGCTTCAAGATATAAAGAAGTTAAGGCCTAACAAATATTTTCCAACACTGATGCTAGTGATGATTGAAAGTATTTTATATTTTTTTAGCATGTGGTTTCGTTCTGATTATTTGGAAAGTTTGGTTAGCATAGATAGGTCTGTAAAGTAAATAAAGAACAATTTACTCTTGGTTCCAAGTGCTGATAAGAGGAGCATTGTCAGAGCTCATGGGTGTAGTTCCTCCTCCCTCTCTCTTTCCCACTACATCCATATTCATTCATCATGAATGCTGTTATATAGGTCTTGGCTTCTCCTTTTCTGTCTACCGCCTTCCACCTCTCAATTCCTATGGCAGATTTCCTGAGTGCCAAGTTTCAAGTAGCAATTTAGGCTAAGCACATACTCAGCAGCAGTCTAAACTACCCCCTTCCCTACTTTCAAAATCAATGCAGCTTGCAGAGTATGAGACTCTCCTACTTGGTCTGGTCCCAAAGGTGAAAGTTAAATATAATTCCTTCTGAGAGCTGAGTGAGGGCAATGTTTGTCTCATGCTTTAGTACTATTTTAGTGTGATCAGGTCAGAAGTCCTCAAGTTAGGTTTAAGTACTTGGAGCAATCTTAATTCTCCACAAAGATCCTCTGAGAGCTGGAGCAATTCCACTCTGGAGACAGGCTGAGAGAGCTGGGATTGTTCAGCCTGGAGAAGACAAGGCTCTGGGGAGACCTTAGAGCAGCTTCCAGTACCTAAAGGGGCTGACAAGAAGTTCAGGGAGGGGCTTTTGACAAAAGGGTGTAGGGACAGACAAAGGGGAATGAATTTAAACTGACAGAGAGGAGATTTAGATGAGATATAAAGAAGAAGTTCTTCCCTGTGAGGGTGCTGAGGCCCTGGCACAGGTTGCCCAGAGAAGCTGTGGCTGCCCCATCCCTGGCAGCTCTCAAGGCCAGATTGGGCAGGGCTTGGAGCAACCTGGTCTAGTGGAAGGTGTCCCTGCCTGTGACAGGGTGGTTGGAACCGGATGAGTTTTAATGTTCCTTCCAACCCATACTGTTCTGTGATTCTATTATTCCTTCCCACCCTTGCAGGGAGCAGTACACCAGGCAGAAGAGACATGTTGCCTGGGCTTGGCTCCTGGGACTGGACCATGCTTTCTTCATATTGGTTACTGAAGTGTTGGGAGCTGTGTGAAGAACAGGAGGTGCTTTGTGAACTGTGTGCACTTTGTAAACAGTGCTGCTGGTGGAAGTAGAAATGCCCTTTTCCACGGACAGGCACTCCCAGGCAGCCCTTGGGAGCACTCACCTTGAAATATATGATTGATGTGTCTGCAGGTGCTCTGAGCATTGGTTACATCTCCAAATGTCATTCTTTAAATAGGGCACTTGAATATTCAAGTAGCTCAATAATGTTCATCTAAGGAGCAAACAGCGTGCAACTTCATGTATGTATGTGTGCACACCTGCACACAGTGACTCTGGGTGTTGAGGTCAAGCTGGTGCATTTTCTGTATTTGCAGTTACCCATTCCTCTCTTGGGAGAAGTTAGTAATGCTAGGTGCTTCAGGAGCCTTGCAGATTGTGTACAGAGCTTAGTTATTTGACTGTGGGAAATGCAGGAGAGTTTTAAAGTAGGACAGTAATGACAGGACAAGGAGACAAGCACAAGGTAACATTTTGCTCTGGATTGCTGCCACTAAGTAATCTCACTGTGATTTAATATCTTTTCACTGGATACTTTATTTCTGCCCTGAAAGTCAGTTGTCACAGCAAGAAGAACTGTTAAAAAGTGCTGTCAGGAGATGGGGTTTCGGGAAGCAGGAGGTGACCTAGCGATGATTAGGAAGAGACCGACCTGTTGAGCTCTGACTAAGGTGCAAGCCTCTGGTTGTTGGTATACTGTTCTGCAGTGGGCTTGTCAATAAGCTGATAGGGAGCCCATGGATTCTGCCAAAGCCAGTAGAAGACCTTCTGGCAACCAGGACCCCAAAGACTTCTCTGGTTTATCTATTTCACAGAAATAGAAATGTGCTTTGAGATGGGTGGGGGAAATATAACCTCTCTGAGGAAGAGTCAAGGCCTGTTGGCATGCAAATTAGTGGATAAGAAGCGTTACAAAGTGATTAGGGGGGAAAGTTGCTATCAAAATTGACTTTCAGCAAAGATTAGGAAAAAGTGGTGGAGTTTGTTGGTAAGAACCCAGCCTGAGAACTTGATGGTCCCTCGTTCAAGGGCTGGTTTTGAGCACTCTTGATTATACTTCACATTGGTATAAAGCAAAATTCTTTGAACAGGAAAAAGAATACAATGTATTGCCGTGGAAAGTGCTGGGCATCTTTTAAATTTAGGCAGAATTTCCTGCTACAGGATTTAAGCTCCTAGTTGCTGAAAGCTGGAAGTGCAAATGTACTGAACTCTGTAAGTTGGTTTGTTTTTGGTTTGTTGTTTTTTTTTTTTTCTTTTTTTTTTTTTTTTTTTCCCCAATGCTTCTGCTGTAAAACAACCCTGATTTTTATATCAGGGTTTTGAAATACAACTCTGTTAGAATTTAAAACTTTTACCACAGCCTGTTTTAAAATCCAAAAGTTTTTGTCAGAAATACTCATTTGGAGTGGCTTCTCCTGGCATGAAACACCATTTAAAACACCTCTTGTTAAATTTCTACAATTTCTTTCTTGAAAAATATGCTGTCTTTTTATTTTTTACATGTCGTAGTCATGAGGAAGCTGCAGCTTCTGTTACTTCATTGCTCCTCTCCCTACTTCCAAGACAGATAGACTATCTCTAGGGAAATGAAAGGTGTCTTTGTTTAAACAAAAGCAGAAAAAAATGTGAATTTCAAACTAAATAATTTTAAATTGTCTTCCCAACTTTCTGTGCATTCAGGGGGTAAATGTGGTTTTTTTTTTTTTGTTCTATATGTATGGCTTATAAATACAGGCCTTCAGGGAAACTGCTTAATTCCTCCATAATTTCATAATATGAGAATAGCCTTTGTGGGCACTTGTAGAGTATATATCTAAGTGTAAAAAAAATTTAACCGTGGCCAAAATAACACATTCCCATATACTCATGTATCTTTGGTAAAACCGGTAGCAACATGTGGATATGCCTGTAAGAAATTACCAGGGATGGCTGTTACTTCATGGATGCATTCCTTCTGTCTACAGACGGCTGCTGAAGAGTGAACTTGGATCCTTCATCACAGATTACTTTCAGGTATTACATGATTTGCTTGCTTGCTTTGGAGGTTTGCTTCTTTCAGCTTTTTAGCCTATAAAAAAAATCAGGAGTCCTTTTGATATGCACATAGCCTACAAGGTCCATTTTTGGTTTCCTAGAGAAGATGATGAAGTTCTGGACATTCTGAATGTGGGCCATGTAGCTTTGGGAGTAATCATATTTATCGGTGTATGTGCTAACTTAAGTGTAATCTTCCTTTGTGCTTCAAAAAGGCTGCAAGTAGCCTGCCAAGATCAAGAAGGAACTCACTTGAACTTTTAAAAGAAGATGGGTTACCTTCCATATTTTTTTTTTCATCTTATTTGTCTAGTACAGAGAATTCAGGAGTAGGTTTTCTGCAACAGGGGCTGGCAAAAGGGAAAAAGTAATGGATGTCTGTTGGGGAGGACTAGGGGGAGGGCAAAGAAGGAAGTCCCTATCAGCAGGAAATCAGCCTGGGTACTATTTGCCTTCTAGTGCCACAAATATAAATGAAGCCTGCAAACAAGTATAAGATGAAGGATGAAGGAAAGACCTGAGCAGTCACAAATGTGAATAAATGTTATTACCTTTGGCTGACACTGTCCAGATAGAGGCTCAAATATAATTACATGAAAGTGTGTTGGATGATTTTTGGGAGAGCACTCATAGCTTTCAGTGTTTTAAGTTGTTCAGTGTAGTGTTGATTAAAAAAAGAAAAGGAGGATGCTCCTGAAAACAAGAGTATTTTCTTCACTGAAAGAGAGAATTTCAGTACTTCTTGAAGGGGAAGTACTGCTGCATATTGTGCTTAGGGGGGCAGACTAATGTTGTTTCTTATCAGTATTAGAGTACATGACTTCTATCAAGTGAGAAAGAAACTCCTACCACAGGGGAGTTATGTTTCACTTCTCTGGGCCCTATCTGCACAAGTCCTTTTCTGCAGAGGCTGCTGCTGCTGCTGAGTGGCGGGATGTTGCCTAGACCATGAGGGCGGTCTGGTAGAAAAGCTGTTGCGCCCATAGCCCAAAGTGCTGGCTTAAGTGGAAATCTGCTACTGCTCCTGCTAATTGAAAAACAGGCAAAGAAAAGTTTGTAACTAAATATATGTGGTGAATTGAAATCTGAAAGGTCTTGATCAGGTACCCAGTGTTAGGCATGGTGTACAATGCTGGAATAAGCAGAAAATGTCCAGAAGAAACTTCATGCACCCATAAGCCAAAGCTTAGCACAGTCCCAAGGGATGTGAGGTGCTGACTTTGGCTGTTATCTGGTTTTGAAAATTCAGAGTGTACTGAAAGAGGCCTGGGTGGCTTCCAGCACTGAGTAAGACACAGCTGCACCTTGTTGCAGCACAAGAGGAACCAGTGACTGCTGGGGACCAGATGGCTTGCAGCACTGGGGCTTGAATGTGCTGTTCTCTTCTTCCAGGCTGTAAACCTCCAGGCTGTCACAGTCACACTGGGGCTAGTGGCTTTAACTGAGACTCCTTATGTTTCCTGGAAGTAGAACTGACAACTGAAGAGACTCACTGCTGGAGGTGGGATATTTGTGTGGCATCGCTCTTTGAAAGCATGCAATGCAAGGCCCTGGCTGCACTCACCTTGGAGTTTGTTCTTCTGTCATGCTTCACCTGAAGCTGCTGTTCTCCCACTGAAGCTGCTGGGACTAAAATTTGATTTCTAGGATTTTCTTTATGTCTTTTTTTCTCAGTGGTGAAAGTAGTAACTTGTTTTCCATCCAGCTTAGCCTGAAGCAAAACTCTTGGTGGTGGCAAGTCGTGAAACAAACTGAAATAAAGGCTATTGCAGGAAATGAACTTTTTTTTCTGTGCTGTGAACTATGGTGCAGACTTAGTTTTGATTCTAGACTGACAGCACATGGCATAGAATCAAATGGCATATGATCATAGAAATGTAGAATCACAGACTTGTTTGGGTTGGAAGAGACCTCAAAGCTCATCTAGCTCCATCACCCTGCCACAGGCAGGGACACCTTCCACTAGACCTGGTTGCTCCAGGCTCCAACCTGGCCTTGAACACTGCCAGGCATGGGGCAGCCACAGCTTCTCTGGGAAACCTGTGCCAGTGTCTCACTACCCTCACAGGGAAGAATTTTTGAAGAAAGTTACCACTCCCTCCTAAATGTCTTTACTCAGAAATCCTCTGGCTGTGGAGTGGGGAAAGACTATTCATGTGCCAAAGAAGGGCTGACAACATTATTTCATTTGTCTGTGGGTTCAGTTTCGCTGCTGATGTTGGCTGATTTACAGCAATATGGCCACCAAAATGAGCAGTTGAATCAGGCTGCTGATGTGGCTGAAAAATAACCTTGGGAGGGAAAAAAGGTTTTTAGCTACTTCCTTTGACATGCACTCATCACTTCTGACATGGGGGAGGTGATGGGAGCAGGTCATCAGGATGGGAAGTGGAGTGGAAGTGAATCTTCTGGCAGCGACTTCCTCCTTCATCTGTTAAAGTCCACTGAAAAGCCCTCCTGAGAACTAGGTTTACTGTTCTCTTGGCCAGAAATGGACCCTTAAGGACCTGCTCTCTTGTGTAACCAGGTAGTTTTAAATATCCTAGCAGCAGTTAAAGCAACTAACTGGATCAAGTCATATTTAGATGGGATAAATTGACTTGAATGTTTTCCATTCCTTATGCCACAGCACTTGTAACAGGAGCTACTTGGATAATTTTTAAAATCACATTTTCCATTGTTTTAAGAGTTCTGGCTCTTCCATTATGTATATTTTACAAACACACAGTTTTTCTAACCACTGAATTTTTAAGACTAAAATGGAGCAGAGCTTTTATAGTGAGACACCTTTACCTTTGTGATCAACTGTGATCCTTTTCACCGACATTCATGCAAATTACCAAGTTTTAGCTCCTGAAGTTGCTAAAGGAAAGTTTAGGAAGCAGATGGGGATTAGGCAGCCTTTCTCTGCTACCAAACCATTGTCATACCAGAGTTACTGGGTCTGTTTTGTATTTGAAAGAGAAATGTAATTCCTGTAAAAGTTTGTTTTTGTTTGTTTGTTGTTTTTTTTTTATTTATTTATTTTTTTTTTTGGTGGGAACTCAGATGTATCATTCTGAAGGAGATTTGTGTTTATAAATCTGCTGCTTTAGCAACTCATATATACAAGCGATCTCCTTGGATCAGAGTCTAAGTGTAATTGCCAGGTAGCTGAGACTCGTAATATTGTCTGTGGATCTGCCTTAAAACAATGCTTCACACTGCAGGTTTTCCAGTATTGATTTTGCCCATAAACTGATCCTGCTGATGAAAAGGGGCACTTTGTAACCACCCCCCTGCTGAGTAACCCAGCAGGGCATCATCTGCTGTCATTGCTGGGTTAGTCCTCTGGTGGTCAGCTGAACTGCAACAGGAAAGAGTCCTGTGGCTGTGGAAGGTAAGAGGCTGGGATTTGGAGGAATAGGGTGTATTTGTGACTAGGACTTCTCCAAGGCATCTATAAAATTATTCCAAGGACCTGTACAGCTCTTGCAGCTGGTTGGTGGCCCTGGGATCAGTGCTGAAGCTCAGTGCTACTGGTTGAGTCCCTGCTTCCTCGAGATCTGCCCAGGCAACCTTTTTTCTGGGCTGCATCCCTGGGCTGGTGGTCTGGGTGCCAGCAGCTCCAGCCTCTTTCATTGGGTTGGTGGCCTGGGTGGAGCAGGCCAAAACTTTCTCCATGGAGTCTTTTCTTTGATGACAGAAGCTCAAGGCCTTCCCCGTGAGCTCCTGGGCTAAATATTGCAAGTTCCAGGCCTTCTCTGTGGGCTGGAGGGCTGAGTGGTAGGAGCTCCATTCTGTGTCCCTAAAGTGGTTGTCTCTCTGCCAGGGTGTCTGCACTGTGTCCCTGGTTCCTTGAGATCCAGTGTTGAGCTTACCCCATGCGGGGTGTCCATTTCTGAACTGGGGGGCTCAGTGGAGGTAGACTGGCCTCTGTTGCCCTCCTGGGAAGAAGCGGCAAAGGGGAGCAGGTTTATGGACAGAACTGCAGCAGCAAGGGCAGAGCCAGGGTTCCACGCACTGTCTCCAGCACTGTCACCAGCCACTCTAGGCTGAAATCCCACACTCCACTCCTAGGACACCCTTTCCACTCTCCCCTTGCTGAGTGACAACTAGGGCCACAGGGTGATGCAGGGAGACAGGCGAGGGCCCCAAGAAACACCAGCGGCAGTTCACAAAGCCACAATGAAAGAGGCTGGAGCTGCTGGCACCCAGACCACCAGCCCAGGGATGCAGCCCAGAAAAAAGGTTGCCTGGGCAGACCTCGAGGAAGCAGGGACTCAACCAGTAGCACTGAGCTTCAGCACTGATCCCAGGGCCACCAACCAGCTGCAAGAGCTGTACAGGTCCTTGGAATAATTTTATAGATGCCTTGGAGAAGTCCTAGTCACAAATACACCCTATTCCTCCAAATCCCAGCCTCTGGTGCCCTGGGATGGATGTACGCCATCATTTTGTGGATCATCCTGGAGAAGAGAAGGCTGCATGGAGACCTCATAGCAGCCTTCCAGTATTTGAAGGGGGACTATAAGGGTGCTGGGGAGGGACTCTTCATTAGGGACTGTAGTGATAGGACAAGGGGTAATGGGTTAACACTTAAACAGGGGAAGTTTAGATTGGCTATAAGGAAGAAGTTCTTTACTGTAAGGGTGGTGAGGCACTGGAATGGGTTGCCCGACAAGGCTGTGAATGCTCCATCCCTGGTGGTGTTCAAGGCCAGGTTGGACAGAGCCTTGGGTGACATGGTTTAATGTGAGGTGTCCCTGCCCATGGCAGGGGGGGTGGAACTAGATGATCTTAAGGTCCTTTCCAACCCTAACTGTTCTATGATTCAGGTAACCTACCCTCATTTTCATGCTCTCTGACCATGTGGTTGTGGACAAATTTTTGAAATGTAAAACTAGTAAGTATTGATAAATCATAGAATAACAGAATAGTTTGTGTTGGAAGGCACCTTAAAGCTCATCCAGTTCCAACCCCGCTGCCATGGGCAGGGA